ACCTATGTGGCTCACGTCCAAAGTTAAAAAAGCTATAAATAATAAGAAAAGAGCTTTTAAAAAATATAAAAATGAGGAACAATAATATCATTTAATTGGTACAAGGAATATAACAGAATATGTCAAAAAGAAATTGGGGCTGTAAAAATTCAAACCAATCAACAGAGTGCAAAAGAAAGTAGAACAAACCCCCCAAAGTTTTCAAATATATTAATAGTAGAAAGGTCCGGTCCAAGCATGTAGGCTGTTTACAAAATAATCTAGAGTGGGTGACTGGGGACAAAGAGAAGGCAAATTTATTTAATACCTTCTTCAGCTCTGTATATACAAATGAGCATGGGGGAGCTCTTGTCCATAATGGGCATGGTATTGACACAGCTCCAGATGATCCACATTGGCTCACAACTGATATGATCCAAAAATATTTAGACAGAATAAAGGTGAATAAAGCACCTGGACCGGATGGCATACACACACGGGTCCTTAAAGAATTGAGCTCTGTCATTTCAAAGCCATTGCTTCTAATTTTTAGGGAGTTTTTAATGACTGGCATAGTACCACTGGATTGGCATAAGGCCAAAGTGTTGCCAATATTTAAAAATAATCAAAATCTTTACTAAGTAATTATAGACCTGTTACTTTAACTTTGAGAGTTGGGAACATACTGGAGAGTTTAATAAAAGACCACATAGATGAGTTCTGGAAAAAAATATTTTAAGCACCAGACAGCATGGATTCATGAAAGACAGAAGTTGTCAAACAAATCTGATTTCTTTTTATGAGGAGGTGAGCAAAACCTTGGACAGAGGGGTGGCGGTGCTAATGGTATACTTGAACAGAGGGGTGGCAATGGACGTGGTATACTTGGACAGAGGGGTGGCAGTGCATGTGGTATACATGGACCAAGGGGTGGCGGTGGACGTGGTATACTTGGAGTTTGCAAAAGCATTTGACACAGTTCTCCACTCACGGCTAATGTGTAAGGTAAAGTCTACAGGCTTAGAAAAATCAGTTTGAAAATAGATAGAAAACTGGTGAATTCAGAGAGTAGTGGTTAATGATTCATACTTTGAATGGTCTAGGGTTGTTAGTGGTGTACCTCCAAGGTTCCAATAATCTCTAAATATGCAAAAATGTGCAATAGACTCCCTCAAGAGCTGGCTCTGACCAGCTCAGTAGATTGTTTTAAAAAAGTCCTGGATTCTTTCCTAAATGTACACAATATAACTAGATAGTAATATTTATAGGTAAAGTTGATCCAGGGAATATTCAATTGGGGGATCAAGGAGGAATTTATTTCCCTGCTGGAGCAAATTGGATCATGCTTTGTTTTTTTTTTTTGGTTTTGCCTTCTTCTGGATCAACTACGGTAATATAATTGTGTAAATATTGTATACATTTTTTTTCTCTCTTTTATTGGTTGAACTAGATGTACTTGTCTTTGTTGAACCAGACTAACTTTGCAACATGCAAGTCAGTTCCTAAGTCCTGTAAATCACACAGGGCCCAACCTCTTTCTGTCAACACTTTTGACTAGAGACACTACATGCAGACACCTTTTACATCTCAGTACCAGGAAATCTTTGCTTTGCGCATTTACCACAGCCTATCTGTTATCTTCATTGAATTACTATTACTCATTTCGCTATTTGGGCCCCACCATTGCTAGCAGAAGACAATGGCTACTATCACATCAGGAGCTTTAAACATCTCAGGACTCAAGTTGCAGATGCAAATTTTTGGCTTAAAATCTTTATTTGCAGAGTGAGGTGAAGAGACAAGTGTGTTACGTACAGAACACAGGAATGAGCTGAAAAAGTTTCCGGTCATTCACAGAAATCAATTTCCGAACCTTTATTAAAATCAACGGATTGCTATCTCTCAGCTGTAAATGTCCAAAAGATTGGATCTAACGGTTGTAACATTTGGTAAATTATAAGTATAGTAAATGTTACTAAGATCTGAATTTCCTGTTAAAGACTGCCTGATCCAGCAAAAGTACTTTATAAATACACGATCAACATCAGGCATTGAATGTGCGTATATTATAGAACTGCCATTCACTGTTTTACATACCTCAAAGTCGCTGACATTGTAACATGGTTGCTTCATGTGTGGTCATTATATCAAACCATAAGGGACATTTTGTGTTATGACCTAAAATTTCTCAAGAATTTATTTTATATAATATAACGTAATGATAAATAATGCAAGGTTACCTGTGAAAGATTTTACTTTGACTCTTGAGCTTGAGATGCGCTAATAGAAGGCTCACCAGACTACAGGATAAAGGAATCCAAATTAATTTATTAGTTTATACAAAAAAAGCCAGCGTATTTCGGGGGTTAGAAAAAAGTCCCCCTTCATCAAGGCTTCCCTTAACCACTTTCCCGCCGACGTATAGCAGAAATACTGCTACAGGGCGGCACGGGTGTGCAAAATGATGTGTGTGTGTGTGTATATATATATATATATATATATATATATATATATATATATATATATATATATATATATATATATATGTGATTTTGCATTTCCAGGTAGGGAGCTCACACGAGCCAGTCGTGAGCCCTTCCCGCACCACTGTTGGCGACCTCTGCTGTCAATCACAGGGTCCCGGCCGGTGATTCCCTGCTAGCACCTGGCAATCTCTGTGTATCACGGACGGGGGAGATACCTGTATGTAAACAATGTTCCTGCACGCTGCTTTGTATGGCTCTGCATAGCAGTATGCTTACAGTGTAAAGCACAGCACACAGTTAACCCTTTGATCGCCCCAGTTGTTAACCCCTTCCTGCCCAGTGCCATTGGTACAGTGTCAGTGCTTTTTATTAGCACTGATCACTGTATTGGTGTCAATGGGGATGTCAGTGACACCAAGTCAGTTCCCCCCCAGTGTCAGAATGCCTGTAGCAGTCCCGCTATAAGTCACTGATTGCCAACATTATTAGTATAAAAAAAAATTTTTAAAATTCCAGTATCTATACTGCCATTTGTAAACGCTATAACTTTCACGTAAACCATTTAATTTACACGTATTGGGATTTTTTTTTTGAGCAAAGACATGTTGCAGAATACATTTTGGCCTAAATTTTGACAAAATTTAGATTTTTTTAAATTTTTTTCTACTGGATATGTTGAATAGCAAAAAGTCTAAAATATAGTTTTTTTTTCAAAATAGGCTGTTTTTTTTTTTATATAGCACAAAAAATAAAAACCGCACAGGCGATAAAATAACACGGAAAGGAAGCTCTATTTGTGGGGGGAAAAAAGGACATAAATTTAATTCGGGTGTAGCATTGCATGACTGCGCAATTGTCAGTTAAAGTAACTCAGCGCCGTATCGCAAAAAATGGCCTGGTCAAAAAGGGGGGAGGTAAATCCTCTGGAGGGCAAGGGGTTAAAATAATGGAGAAATGGAATGGACTCGAAATGGAACTTTCCTGTGTGAAGCTGTGTAGGGAAGCTATTTTATCTTGATTGCTTACTCAGATGCTCTTGGCCAGTAACTCCTGATCCATGAATTCGCTTCCCTACACAGCTCTATTTTGAGTCTATACAATGTTTTTATTTTAACAGAACCCCTGATGAAGCGGGAGTTTTTTATGACCCCCAAAACATGCTGGCTTTTTTTTATAATAAATGAATTTGAACTCTTTTATCCTTTTGGCTTGGCGCTCCTTCCATTAGTGCATGTTTTGCTGTGGTAACCTGCTGGGTACCCACTGAAGGGAAGCCCTGCCAGTTGTGAGCAGCCTAACCTGAGCCAGTGAACACGCTGAATGTTTTTGTTCTCTCTCTACTTTGTATGAATTCACACCAAAGCTCTGGTGCCTCTAGGATGCTTTTTTTTCTTCATTTGAGTCCTGAACTTGGGAGTCAGAGATAGTTGATTCTGTAGCTACCCTGTTAACTGTCTGATCCTATTTTGATAACACGTGCTAATAAGAGCTCCTCAATAGGGATAAGCTCAGGTTTGGTCTATAATTGGGTTTGTCCAAAGCCTTGTAGGACCTGTCACTCCCGGCTCAACTGTGGCCAGGGCATTCCCCACCCCACAGCTGCACATGCACAAATGGGCGATGATGCTAGTGACATCATTGACCGAATATGGCTTCAAGTTTAGGCAAAACGTAAGCTCATCCTTACCCCTGAGTGTGCATAACAGTATCAAATAACAAACCCCTATAGTAATGAAACATTGCAGTTATGCACACTCAGGAACTAGGAGAAAATGTGTTATCATCATAAGGCCATCAATTAGAAGGGCATCATCTGTCATTCATCAGGGGACTTCAAATCTGACTCTTACACTCAAGATTCAGGTTTACAGAAAGTAAGCCAAGCTAACTAAAGGGACAATTTAACAATTCAGATGGAAATATAAAACTGAGTATTCATACTCTTAAATAGCCAAATCATGACATGTCTATGCATTTTTAGACTTTAGGAATGCTGATTACTGTGTTTATTATTTCAGAGATTTAAACGTCAACTTCGAGCAACAAAGACAGAGGTAAGGGAAATGTTATATTTTTTATCTGCATAGAGGCTTATAGTGTTTTTCATACTTTCTGTCTTGTAAATGTCATTGACATTATTTCTGCATGTTAGCAGGTAGCTCATGCAAAGCAGTCTGGCTTCATTTTTAATTCCTCAAAGTTTTTCTGAAGTAAACTCCTCATTGGTCATATTGGTCTCTTTCATGCATGCAGAACAAATCAATACAGATACTCTGCAATTGACTTTTGCAGCTTCAAAATGCTTCAAGTAAAGGGACAACTTTGACGGATTCAAAACAGATAAGAATTCAAGTTCCTGTTGTGCAATTTGTTTTTTGTCACCCCACAATACAGCCTTTCTTAACCAGGGTTCTTGAGAAATTATACCACAAGCTTGAGAAACTAGCAGTTTCTTCTCTAAAATCAGTGACTACTGGCACTACTGACCTTTTTAGTCATCTCTTAGGGAGGAATTATACTAACTGACCACCAATGTTCTTCCCACTGAACTCTAATGTAAGGAGTGTTCTTCCCACTGACTACCAATGTAAGGGGCATTCTACTCACTAATCACCAATGTAAGGAGCGTTCTTCCTACCAACCTCCAATGTAAGGAGCGTTCTTCCCAATGACCTCCAATGTAAGGAGCGTTTTTCCTACTGACCTCCAATGTAAGGAGCGTTCTTCCTACTGACCTCCAATATAAGGGGCATTCTTCCTACTGACCTCCAATGTAAAGAGCGTTCTTCCTACTGACCTTCAATGTAAGGAGCGTTCTTCCTGCTAACCTCCAATGTAAGGGGCATTCTTCCTATTGACCTCCAATGTAAGGGGCATTCTTCCTATTGACCTCCAATGTAAGGGACATTCTTCCCACTTGATCACCAATGTAAGGGGGCATTCTTCCCAATGGCCTCCAATGTAAGGGACATTCTTCCTTTGACCTCCAGTGTAAGGGAAATTCTTCCCCCTGAACTCCAATGTAAGGAGCATTCTTCCCACTGACCTCCAATTTAAGGGACATTTTTCCTACTGACCTCCAATGTAAGGAGCATTCTTCCTAATTACCACCAATGTAAGGGACATGCTTCCCCCTGGCCTCCAATGTAAAGAACATTCTTCCTACTGGCCTCCAATGTAAGGAGCATTTTCCCCAATGACCACCAATGTAAGGAGCATTCTTCTAACTGACCGCCAAAGTAAGGAACATTGTTCCTACTGCTCACCAATGTAGGGAGAATTCTTCCCAATAAACACAAGTGTAAGAAGCATTATTCCCACTGACCATGACACTAGTGTATCAGGATTTGTAGATATACTGTAGGTCTTTATTACTATGTTATGTTCAATTTTATGTTGCAACCATTCCTGTTCAACTTTTCTACAACTCAATGCTCATTACTGTAATCTCTTGTTTATTTATTCAATAAAATACTTTGCCTTCTGGTAAAAAAAAAAGTTTTGATGTGCTTTTGTATATTTCTTCCAGATCTGTACAGTAATCCAGGGGGGGAATTTGTGTTGGGAGAGGGAATTTCGGGGACGGCAGGGGGTAAGAATTGTTCTAGGATGGGAAATCTGGGAGGAGGTGCTAGAAGTGGGGATTTGGGGGGATCTATGTTGGGAGGAGGGGTGGGGGGAGAGGATTTGTGCTAGGAGGTGGATTTGAGGGTTTTGTGCTACAAAGTGTCATATGGTATGGGGGGAGGGCATATGTGCTAGGAGGGGAAATTTTTTTGGGAGGGATTTGTGCTAGTAGGGATGATTGGGGGGTTTTTGTGCTAGGAGGGGAAACTTAGGGGAAGAGGATTTGTGCTAGGAGGAGGGATGGGGAGGATTTATTCAGGGAGGGAGGGAGGCTTTCGAATGGAGGGGAGGATTTGTGCTAGGAGGAGAAATTTGAGTTGTAGAGGATCTGTTCTAGGAGGAGTTATTGGGGGAGAGGGGAAGGGGGGACAACAATTTCTCCTGGGAGGGAGGATTTGAGCAGGGGGGCATATTTGTACTGGGAGAGGGGAATTTATGCAGATTAGTGCTCAATTTTTTGAGGGGGGGGATTTTTGCATAGTGCTCACACATCATGAGGGGAGGGGGGGCACAGTTTGGCATGTTCACCCTGGGATCTAAATGACCTTGTCCCAGCACTGGTCCAGTGTGAGACTTTTCCTTCCTATAATAAAGACCGCTCACTGCTGATCTCTCTCCTTGTGCAAGATGACTGGTCTTGTCTCCGCCCCCTCCTGTAGTTTTCTGCAGGCAGCCTGTAGTGAGTGGAGCCTTCTGGGCCCCTCCCACAACTCTGCTCTGCACAAGCTATGTACAGCACAGTGATTACATCATTACTACTATTTTAAAAGGCTTGGACAGGAATTTGGTGCATGCAAAGTGGATTTATATCCTTTGTGGCTATTGTGGAAGAAGCTTAAAAAAATGTTTGTGCTGGGAGTTCGACATTAAAAAGTAGTGGATCATAACTCAACAGTCTATATAACTCCTTATGACTTTTTTTTTTCATTCCAAAATAATATTATTCCAAATACAATACACGAGAAGCAGAAAGTCAAGTAGTATTTACAATCCTTATAGACTAACACAAAGTATATATGGTGTAAAGGTATAAATAGCTAACACATATGAATAACTCCTAAAACATCTTGAAGCAGTTTTGGAATTAAAGCCAGCCATGCACGGTTCGAATTCCGAAATAGCTTTCTTGGAAAATCTTTTCTAAGAATTTTCATTTGAATTTTCACCATTAATGGGCCACATTAATAGCCGATTTTCAATCAACCATTGAATTTGAGTGAAATATTTTGAAAAACTAATGAATTTCTAATCATTGATAGAAGAATTGTGTGAGAAATGTAATTGTAAAAGAAATGAGCATGAACTGTGACCAGGAAAGAAAATAAAATTCTTGGCCATGAAAATTCTTCTCCGCAGCAATATGAGGTGAAATTGAAGACTTGGTTGGTCAAATTTCAAAATCAATGGTGGCACCATCGAATTACAAAATGTCCAATTTCTAAAGAAAATTCATTCGGCATTCGACCCATGTATGGCCTGCATTAGTCTGCCAATTTTAGGTAGAATATTTTCCTTCATAAAATGGAAGTTGCTGTTATATTTAACTCCATAAAGTTACCGTACAGTCTCTTGATGCATTGGACTATAGGGATAGCAATTACTGCTAGTAACAAATGGCCTCCATTACCGTAGTAAAGAGGACCTGTAGGAAAAAAGGAAAGCAGAAGACAAAGTACTAGTCACTACACTCATATTGAAATAACATTGAGTTATGCTACAAAAACACAAAAGTGAAACATACACATGATCACAAAATATATAACAACTACAAAAAGTGAAAAATATCCAAAAAATGTCAGAATGCAAAGAAAAGTCCCAAAAAGAAAATGTCCCAGAGACCAAAAGGATCCCTTTAATCGTGAAGAATTTATTACTTTCTTGCTCAGAAGAATTATGTTAAAAGTTTCAGCAACATCCACCCAGAGTGATATCAGGAAGCAGGCTTACTAAATCTGCTTGAACCCCTTATTCAGAGTGGTCATAAAGCATTCGGTCAGTTAACCTGGACATCAATGTCATCTCCAACACATGTTCTCAAATCCTCTGAAAAAAACTCTCCCAGAACACCATTGGTAGGTCTCCCAGCGATACATGTTATGCAGTAACAAACACTCCATATAGTGTAAAATACCTTCTAAAACTTTAATTTATAAAATAAGCCTGCATTTGGCATTCACTTCCGATACGCAATTACATCAGCAGAAAGCTCCGCCCAATGTGTATCGTCATCCAAAGACATCATTCTAAGCACGAAGGTAAAAAAAGTCAGTGATCAGCTATCTCACAGAACTAAGTACACCCCTTACATTTTTGTAAATATTTTATTATACCTTTTCATGTAACAACACTGAAGAAATGACACTTTGCTACAATGTGACATAGTGAGTGTACAGTTTGTGTAAATTTGTTGTCCCCTCAAAATAACTCAACACACAGCCATTAATGTCTAAACCGCTGGCAACAAAAGTGAGTAAACCCCTAAATGAAATTGTCCAAATTGGGCCCAATTAACCATTTTCCCTCCCGGATGTCATGTGACTTATTAGTGTTACAAGGTCTCAGGTGCGAATGGGAGCAGATGTGTTAAATTTGGTGTTATCGCTCTCACTCTCTCCTACTGGTCACTGGAAGTTCAACATGGCACCTCATGGCAAAGAACTCTCTGAGGATATGAAAAAATAATTGTTGCTCTACATAAAGATGGCCTAGGCTATAAGAATATTGCCAAAATCCTGAAACTGAGCTGCAGCACGGTGGCCAAGACCATACAGCGGTTTAACAGGACAGGTTCCACTCAGAACAGGCCTCGCCATGGTCAACCAAAGAAGTTGAGTGCACGTGCTCAGCGTCATATCCAGAGGTTGTCTTTGGGAAATAGATGTATGAGTGCTGCCAGCATTGCTGCAGAGGTTGAAGGGGTGGGGGGGTCAGCCTGTCAGTGCTCACACCATATGCCGTAAACTGCATCAAATTGGTATGTATGACTGTCATCTCAGAAGGAAGCCTTTTCTAAAGATGATGCACAAGAAAGCCCACAAACCGTTTGCTGAAGACAGGCAGACTAAGGACAGGGATTACTGGAACCATGTCCTGTGGTCTGATGAGACCAAAATAAACGTATTTGGTTCAGATGGTGTCAAGCGTGTGTGGGCGGCAACCAGGTGAGGAGTACAAAGACAAGTGTGTTTTGCCTACAGTCAAGCATGGTGGTGGGAGTATCATGGTCTGGGGCTGCATGAGTGCTGCCGGCACTGGGGAGCTACAGTTCATTGAGGGAACCATGAATGCCAACACTGTACTGTGACATACTAAGGCAGAGCATGATCCCCTTCCTTCGGAGACTGGGCCGCAGGGCAGTATTCCAACATGATAACGACCCCAAACACACCTCCAAGACGACCACTGCCTTGCTAAAGAATCTGAGGGTAAAGGTGATAGACTGGCCAAGCATGTCTCCAGACCTAAACCCTATTGAGCATCTGTGGGGCATCCTCAAACGGAAGGTGGAGGAGCGCAAGATCTCTAACATCCACCAGCTTCAGTGGCAACCTGTGAAGCTCTGGTGAACTCCATGCCCAAGAGGATTAAAGCAGTGCTGGAAAAATAATGATGGCCACACAATATTGACATTTTGGGCCCGGTTTTTGGACATTTTCATTTAGGGGTTTACTCACTTTTGTTGCCAGCGGTTTAGACATTAATGGCTGTGTGTTTGTTATTTTGAGGGGACAGCAAATTTACGCTGTTATACGCTGCACACTCACTACTTTACATTGTAGAAAAGTGTCATTTCTTCAGTGTTGTCACATGAAAAGATATAATAAAATATTTGCAAAAATGTGAGAGGTGTATTTACTTCTGTGAGATACTGTATGTATATGTGTGTGTGTGTATATATACACATACACGCAAATATTTTTAAAAATACATTTCAAATATACTGTATGTCTTTAAAAAATACAAATCAACATTTTTGGAATGCATTTACAAACATATGTAAAAATATATGATAAAATGACTTTTTATATGTTAAAAAAAATCTGAATATATTTAATGACATTTTTTTAAATATATATATAATTTTTTTTAATATATTCTTCAGATTTTTTTTAACATATAAAAAAAGTCATTTTATCATATATTTTTACATATGTTTAAAAATACAAAATCAACATTTTTGGAATGCATTTACAAAGACATACAGTATATTTGAAATATATTTTTAAAAATATATTTTTCATATATTTTGTAATTAAAATGCATTTCAACATGCAGTGTGTGTGTGTGTGTGTGTGTGTGTGTGTGTGTGTGTGTGTGTGTGTGTATGTATGTATGTGTATATATGTTCTAGTATATTGAATATGGCCAAAATTGTAGCATTTCATATACATGGCAATTAGAGATGAGCGAATCAAAGTAGGCGAAGTGGAATTCGTTTCGAATATTAGGAAAATTTCGATTCGCGTCG